GAGTCATCCTATAATGAAAGTTGCACCAGTTTAATGGTGATGTTGTTTTACATTAAAGTTATGGAAAACTAAGTCTGTACCAGTTCTAAAAGTAACAATTTTCTTTTCCTCTCTACACCTGCTCATGCTGCCAACTCCTTTGGATCAGCAGGAGGCTTATGCAAGTGAAGTAACTTGAGCAAACTGAGCTAGCTTAAAAAAAAAAGTTGGCTGAGAGGTGGGGAGATATGTTCCTGTTGATACTTTTCAAATCTCAGCAGGAATATTAATGCTTACACAAGAAGCAGAAAGATGTAATCAAAGAGAAGTGTAAAGCATAAAGTCACCCCTTTTCACAGCAGCATGAACTTCAACTGGCTGCAGCTAAAGCTAAGTTTTTTCTAAAGATCTCTTCTTACACAACATTATCATTCATTTAAAATCTGCAATTTAAGGACACTTTCCTTGCATGAGTCATTCTGCAGACAACAGAATTCAGAGTTTTAGATAAAAATAAGGATTTTGCCTGGAATAACAAAATTTTATACCCTTCTAACATTTCAGTTGTGAGTGTGATTGTACTTGGAAATTGTTTTGTCCTTGAAGAACACAAAATCTTTTATAGGAGCTCTAGAAATTAAGAGTATGCAGAAGGTAATTTAAAATTGCAAGAAGAACATCTGGAGACAAGGTTTAATAATCACATAGATCCATTTGTTCTTACTCTCTCCATAACAAGTAGATATCTAGGACTAGGTAAAGCAGATTAACTGAGGCGTAGGTCCTTAAAGGTGCTCACCTATCCTGTACAATCTGCTTCATCACATCTGCCAATTGGGACTCACAGTTATCAAATAAACAACAATAAGCCTCTGAAGACACAACCTAATTTTCCAAAGGCAGAATTTTAGAAGAATGGATGGTTTTAGTCATTCAGGTACTCAAAACCTTAGGAGGAAGAACAATTTCATGAGCAAATTTTTATCTAATGCTCTTCTACATGCCAGTGTCCAAAGCAGAGCTAGAGAAAGGGAAACTTTTTGCTCTGACCTGGGGGATTTTTTTTTCTTCTCAGAAGTCATTCTGTGAGTAGCAAAACTAAGGAAACCTGTTTTCCTGTACTGCTGCATCTCAAGACTCTTGACTTTGACATCTAAATACACAGAAGTGTATTTAGAAGTGTCACAGAAGCTGTGACAGCACTTTTTCCTGTAGTTTGGCCATTCATAATGTTTGTGTCCCTTAATTTCCTGGAGTCTCATAACACAACTAGGCAGCCCTTCCCCTTCCCTTCTGCCAAAACTCATATCATCGTGAAAACTGCAAATGACCAACAAATTCAAAGATATAGATAGGATAGGGGAAGAATGAGTGGCAGATGTAGCATCAGAAGCTTCGCTTCCTTGATAAACCAACCTAGCAAAACAAAGTTGTGTGCTGTCCTTTCATGCTTGTGGTTGTTTACATCTTGGGAACTGCGCTTCTTGAAACTCCCTGCTATAAAAACAGAACTTGATCACCCACTGGTTTTCTTATCTTTCACCTGGCAGAATTCCTTTTCTCTTTCTTTCCATAAATAATTTTCCCTTTTTTATTTTGGTTAAAAAAAAAAGAAAAAAAAAAAGGTTTTGTATTCTTTTAGAGCAGAGAGGAAGGAATGGAAGAAAAAAAAGGTTTTAAGAAATCACAAAGTCAGAATTCCATTCAGATATCCAGTCTGGACAGAGAGTGAAATACTTTACCACCAGCCAGAGATGAGGCCTAGATCATTCTGAAAAGTGAGTAACATAGATGTGAATGCACTGCAGTAAGAATAGCAACATCTCAATTTCTGTAATGAGTTACCACATGTTTCACAATACAAAGGGTAAATAAAGTTGGCAAATAAGAGTAAGAAAATGGTAAAATGGTGCTGGACAATCTTTCTGCTCATTTTATCACCCATCCATCCTTCTTTCATCCAGCTCAGAGCAACATTTGCTAAGCAGTCCACTTACTCGGTAGTTCTCCTACAGGGAAAAGGCAAGGTTACCATAATACTGTCAACTGACACCTGCTTACGAAGACTGATCAATTATTTCTGATATATCTCTGCTATGTTATTATTTCTCAGTCGAGAAAAGAAATAAAACAAAGTAAAAAATACTCCACATCTCTCAACAAAGAATTAATGGTCCCAAGTTACCCTTAGGCAGAGTATTTCTCCTCTTAAAATAACGTTTCAGGTGCTTGCTAATGCAAGTCACTCATTTACAGAGAGCAAAAATAACCATACTTCACTTAGATGAAGAAAAAGTAAGACCATTTTATTTTCAACTGTTTTAAGCCTGTCCTTGAAAATCTGTTTCTTCAAATAACGTAGAGACAGGTTTTACACATGTCCAATTTGGGCTATTAAAAGTTCAATTAAAATCTTGGGTAACAGAGACACACGCAGGCACTTCAAACAGCTGCAACTTCGAAACAATGTAAATGTTTAGAGTAATAAAAAAAGGTTCTATTAACATTTGTATATCGTATCTACAACCCGCCAACAGTAACACAAACACACGTTGCAATTTTTGTCATTCTGAAACAATCTGCATAATAATTCTTATTAACAGAGGTAACTGCTGCAGCAGTGATGTACATTAAACAGAAGTTGTCAAACTGCTGCAAAAGTTCAACCATGGCTATTTAAGGATAAAGCTCAGTTTCACAGAAAAACAGAAACAATAAGCAGATGTTCCACCACAATAAGTCAAACCATCAACTCCCAGAGAGGTCAGAAAGGTCTTCAATCACCTACACATCAGGCAGACTAACATTCTCTTTCCAGCTCTTCAGATGGAAATACATGGAGTTTGACTCATCACCCATTCAACACCCATCTGAATTTTCAGGATTCAAAATACAACCACTCCAAGCTGCTGCTTGCATTGTAAGAAACGTTTAACATATTTCACTCCATCCCCAACTCACAGGGCTTGAAAAGCTTTAAATCTTAGGCTGCTTATTTTCATTGCAAAGTATACTTTGCTTCCAAGAATAAAGATTAAAGATGAGCTATTAGAGATACTGCTATGAAAGTGTCATCAGTAAAAAATAGGTCTCCAACAGCTTACTTCCGTGATCAAAATCACAATGCAAGTATCACTATCACTTCTAAAGCTAAGCATGAAAGAATATAGAGGAGTTAATGAGAAATCAAAACTTCTAACAGCACATCGATTAACCACTCTGTTAGCTCAGCTCAGAAGAGGTGCCCTTCCAACATTCAGGCAGAACTTCCTCTAGGTGGGGATGGATTATTAACTTTCTACCAGAAGGAAAATATAACCACTGTGCTTCCTCACTTGACAAGCACAACCAATGTCAAGAAATATAAATGTTTCAACAGATAAGCAAGATAATACCTGTAAGGACAGGATAGAGGCTCCAGTAACAATTCAGAGAATATACTAAGTCATAACAAGCTTTGAAACTGAAATTACAGTTTGCTCTGGTCCTTGCATTATCAGGGTCTGCTGCGAGTGGCACCAAGACAAAGGATACAAGTAATCTCTTTAAAGCAAGGAAATTATAGCTCTGCAGATCCACACACACAAAGAAGATTCACCTGGGCCGCCTCTCCTCACTCTCAATCCCTCAGCAATTAGCCCATTGTTCCACTGCACAGAGCAGGACAACCCCCAAACCCCCAGTACATACAGGCAACAAATGACCAGCTTTGAAACTGAAAAATGACACCTTATTATCAAGTTCATATGCAGAAAAGATGTATTATATTTGTTCTTGCATTACCTTTATATAGTACTGATGGGATATTATCCAAATATTATCAGTGAATTGTTACTTTCTCAGCAGTGTGTACATTACTTCAGCCAACACGTCTGACTTCAGCTACTCCTTCCCAAGCTAACAAGTTAGTGGATTTACCTTTTTATTTATTTAAGAATGAGTGACTATGTGTTAAATGTTTAAAAGAGATGTAAATTATATAGCTTAATTTCAGTACTCCAGAGAGAAAACTGAAAACTGAACTTAAAAACAATTTTTAAATTAAAATTTTTAAAAACAATTATTGATAGTTAACCTATAAAAAGTAATTTTTCAAAGCCAGGATTTGAATTCTCTAAGACTTAAGTTCACCGATGCCTCATTATTAATCAGATATTAGAACACTTTCTAGCTATATATGTCATCATACTTAATAGAGTTCCTGCTTTTAAGGGGTGTTTTACAAGGGAATGAAATGAGATGTCCTGCCCAAGATTATATCGCAAAATAACAGCGAGTGGTATTCTTCACATCCAGTCTTCGCGCTGATAGCAAAGGGGGCGGGAGGAAAGTGACAGCCCTATAAATTAAGTCTTCTTTCCCACTACATATAGAAAAGCAAATGTCTGGGTGTGCTTCTTTCATACTGATCAATGACTTGGTATCACATTCACTTTTAAGAATGAGAAGGTAGTTCGAGCTCTACTGAGCAAAAACATGTTAGGGGTTTACGTTTTCCACTCTCTCCTGCAAACCTTGTCCTTAGGGACGTACATTTCACTCAGTTGCACTCACGTTGTGCTGAATGTAACTGAGCAATACCCACTTAACTAGAACACCTGAAAGAAAGGAGGACTGGAATGAGCTAAACACTTTCACTCTTCAGATGGAAAAAGTCATTAAAATCCACTACTAGTTTTTGCTTCCTGGGCAGCCCTATGAGTGCACATTTCATTTCCATGACCCTTCCAGAAGGGACAGCAGCGACACAGCTTCAGGTCGATTTCTGTCTCTCGGTTCCCATGAAGTGGAGCAGCCTATTTTCAGCGGTAAGTCAGCAGGTACTATTTTCCTTCGCAAGACTGTGTCCTGTGCTCTTAAGAGGTGGAGGAGCCTATTTCAGCCTTAACTTCTGCCGTATACTTCCACCACACATGAACAGAATCACAGCAGACACGGTCAAAACGAAAAACAGGCAAGTGAAATGAGAGGGAAAGGGTGTAGAGATGAAAAGAAGGAAATGGTAATAAGCAGAGACTTACTTGAACCTGCCCTGGCAGTGTTGGCACTGGTCTCCCACCCAGCCCTGGTCGCAGACACAGGTGGAGTTGACACAATGACCCGAAAAGCAGGAGATTTTGTCGCAGGACTTGGACTGGGACACCTGGGCGTAGAGAGCCAGGTAGAGGAAGCCGTAGAAGAGCAGCCAGCTGTTCACATCCAGGAGCGAGGCGAAGCAGCAGCAGCAGGCGGAGGGGAAAGGTCTCCAGGCGGCCGGGGTTGCGGGGGCAGCTCCCGCTCTCCGGGCGGCGCTGCCCAGGTCCATCTTGGCCGCAGGGGCCGCGGGCCGAGGCCGGGCGGCGATGGCAGCTTCCCCTGAAGGGAGATAATCCAGCCAGGGAGATTCAAACCCCCCGCTTCCTCCTCGCCTTCCTCTCCTCCCTCCCTCCCTCCCGACCCCAGCGCTGCCTCCTCCGGCCCCTTCAGCTCTCCGCGCCCGCGTCAATCCCGAGGGGAAGCCCGGCAGCGCTCAGCCATCCGCCCCTTCTCTTCGCCGTCCTCCTCAGGGCTCATCGCTCCCGTCTTCTTCCATGGAGGAGGAGGAGGAGGAGGAGAAGAGCCGCCTCTTGACCTTGTGTTTCCTCCTCGGCAGAGATGCCCCCCGCCGGCGCGCACACACCACCCTGGACCATGTATCCCGCGGCTCCCCCTCCTCCTTTGTGGTCCCGGTGCCCGCGGCTCACACGCAGCGGCAGCGCGGGGAGGGAGGCGGGGAACGGCGTCCCTTCGCCAGGCAGCCAGCTGGGAAGTGAGGGCGGCCGGGCCCCGGAGCCGCTACGGCATCGAGCTCCGGCGGGGCGGGGAAAGGGCTGGAGAGCTCTTATCCCCCGCTCCGCTATTAGCCCTGCAGAGAAGGGAGGCGTGCGGCGGGGAGAGGAGGGTTAACAGCCCCTCCGCGTCCCAGCTGACAGCTTCCAAGCAGCCATTTTTAAAGGCTAATTGTCATCTCCGCTCGGAGCTGCCTCCCGCCCCTCGGTCCGCTTGGGTCCGTCCCTGGGTGGGAAGGGGGGTCCGGCCCGGGGAGGGGGAACCGCGCACCGGCAGCTCCCGCACGCCGCGCCCGCTCCTTCCCCCGCGCTCCCAGCACACTCTGCCGCCCACGCTATGGAAAACAAGGGGATGGGGAGATGGAGCCCCACGGGGCGCAAAGCGCCCGTGGCTTTGTGCGGACACCGCCCGCACCTCGGAGGCCCCGCGGGGGCGGCCCCGCCCGGCGCTCGGGAGCGGGGGAGCGGCCCCGGTAGTCCCCGGAGACCCACGACCCGCTCCAGCGAAGGTTCTGGTGTCCCCCGGTCCGCTACCTTGGCTTCTCTTCGCCGGGCCGGGCTGCTCCGGTGTGTTCCTCGGGTCCTGCAAAGTTCAGAGGCGGTTTGCTTTGAACTCGCCCCGGTCAGTACTGGAAGAGATGTTACAGCTTGTTTTGGAAACCTCACCTTCCTAAGGTTTACTCCATCTTCCCGTTTTACGGTTCAGATCAAGACCTTGCCTCCTGCTTATAACATGAGCAGTCACAAAAGTTCTTGTGCAAAAGTAGTTCTTGTAATAAAGTTGTCTAAAATGTCCTTTTCTTTTTTTCGTGAAACGTGTTCCATACACAGTCCATCTCTTCCAACTTTACTATAACCTGTTTCATTTTACAGTCTGTCAAACCCTCTGAAACTTTCTCCTAACACTGAAATTGGGAATTTATGACATGATGTCTCTGTTCCAAGCAGATGAAGAAAGAGTATTAAATTTCATCTCCTGGTACCATCTCAAAACAAGTAAGTCCAAAGTGACCACTTTTAGTGTCTGGAATCAGATCCAAATTGACCACTCTCCAGATTCTGAAGTTCTTACCCTTGGGGCACATAGAAATTGTTTGGGGTTTGGTTTAATCTGTTTTCCTAGGCACACCATTAAATCTTAACCTGAATTCCCAAAAAATCAAAGTCAATCAATACTACTGTAAGGGGTATCTATTTGTGCTTTGTGTGAAAAAAAGAGGCCAACCCAGATCAGGATGTCAAAGCCAAACACAGTAAACATCACAGAAAAAGTGTCTGTGCCTTAAGGAGCTTACAGTCTTGATGGAGGGAACACCTGCTAGTGTGTGGGGAAAACAGAGGTGAAAAGTAATTTTTCCAGAAGATGTCAGGAGGTCCAAAAGCCGCTCTCAGTCCAGGAGTACATTGTACATTGTCTTCCTAACAGCTGAGATAGATCATTTCATCGTCCTGCATCAGACACATTTAATAGCTATAAGGCATCTCTTTGTATGTGTTTGGTAATGACTTGGTGAGTTCATGCAAGGAGGGGAAATGGAAATTGTGTTGCTGCTTTATATTTTATGATAAAAAGCTGAGGCTGAAGCCTTTGTTGAACAGTCTGCTAATTATACAATATCACATGTGATTAAAGCTGCTGAACAACTGTCCTCTGTTAAACACCATTATGGGACCAGAAATGCAGTTAAAAGGAGATCCCAGTCCAAGATACAATGTCAGTTCAAAAATATTCTTTAAGCATAGTTTTGCTTACCATGACAGGGTAACGTTATACATTCCTCCTCCACTTTCTCAATTCCTTTAAACCAACAAAAAAAGTTCTAAAGCTGGAACCATCTTTTTCTGAGATTGAAGGAAGATTTTGTTTCAGATCTAAAGAAGTCAGCCAAATTTTTGAAAATGTTTGAAATTAACATTCGAATACCACTCACAGCAAAGCTAGGATTTCAACAACCCTTTACCAGACAAGAGATCTATTCAAAAGCACAAAACCAAACCCAAAACAACAACAGAAAAAGTACAAAGTTATGTTGAGCAAACTTAAACAGCTTTTTAGTAATTGTGTGAGGCTTGAGAAAAAAACAAACAACACAAATAGGCCAACAGATAAGTACTAGAGTGGTTATAAGAGGTGCAGATAGTAAAAGCATGATAGTGCTTTTACTGCATAAACAATCATAAAAAAAATTAAACACAACTAGAAAGGTTTCTAGATTTAGAACATCAAGGAAGAAACATCACACCGCTGTCTCCTGAATAAAAAGTAACACACTGTGAAAATAAAGGAATGCAAAGCTTTGTCTGCTGTATGTCACAGAAATGCAGTAGATATTTCATAATTCCAGGAAATGAATGATGTACGAATGCCAGTACTGGTTCTCTTCTGTGCTGATTTGATGGGATTTTTTTGGTGTCAGATGAAGTTAACAAATCTGGCTGTGAGGAGTCAGTCAGATCTGTCAATCCTTTCATTTTTACATGCATATCTGTAAGTTCCACTTTTCTTGCAAGTGTAACATTTTACACCTTTCATCCTTTCGGTTCTTGACACAGAAATCACTTACACTTTTAAAGAACTAATGTACTGAACCATCTTGGGTAGATTTAGAACTTAAAAGCATTTGAACAACTTCTCAAAAGTTTTAAATGAGTGGATAAAAATAGATAACGAGATTACAAACTAGAGCAGCGATGTAGAAGGTGATGTGAACAAAGCCTTCCAAGAATATATCCATTGTAGCAGGGAAGCAAAAAAAACTCAACCAAATATAAAGGCTTCCAGGCTGTTACTATCAAAACCTAAGCACTAATATACAAGGGAAAATGCCGATACATTCATGTTCATTGACTAAAACAGCTTAAAGTATATTTAAATTCTCAATGATTGCTGTTATGAGACAGGGCGGAACGGATAAAGCAAAACAGCCCTCAAACACAGACTTCTTCAGCTGTTCAGAATTTCTGCAAGATTCTGAGGACAAGAATATAGCAGGAACCATCCTCTCCTCCCTGGCCCCCATGCACACACACATGCACCCCTCCCTGCTCTGCTGGCCCTCCCCTACAGGCTGATACCGATGAAGCCTTGCTTCAGACATCCTCTTCCCTTAAGGATGCTTAATCCTATTTACAGTATCCAGTGCAGATGTGTTTTTGCAGTGATGTTGAGAAGAACAATATAAGCAGCTGGAGAGAAGAGGGAGAAAAATGATTACCATTTGGGTTGACCTCTTCACAAGGATACTAAGAGAAGCAAATGTTTTCTATGCCCTTTCCTTTCTCCTTGGGACAGATATTATTGGACTCATTAAGTAAAAGGGGCCGAGCTCTGCACTGCTTCTGGACAGGGAAATATAGATCTGAGTTGGCCTTATGACACATTGGTAAAACTAGTGTGTAGATGGCTGTAATGGAGGGAACAGCTACAGAGTGATTGAAGAGCTTAGCACACCAGAACAGTGTACAGGCTTCTTACTGAGCCTTACAAGGATAACTTGAGTGTAAGCTTTCCCTTTTCTTTCCAAATATGCACCCAACACTTTGTATGAAGGACAACAAAAGGCTTTTTTTTTTTTTTTTTTTGTAAATTTCATGCTCAATTTTCATTGAGCAACATTGAGTCACCTGAGCCATTCCATAAAACCCTTTCTGATATTATGAAAACTATCAGTCTCTTCCATGAGGTAAAAAAAATATGTCCCTATTTATCAGATTCTAATGCTAACAGAATAATGTGTGTTACAATTTTCTGTTCATATTGTCCTATCCAGTAAGTCAACTCTTGGGAGCTATGAATTTTATAAGATTAAAAATATAAGCCTTCCCTTGTCTACTCATTTTTTTCTAAATTTAGAAAGACATAAACTTTTCAGAAAATTCACTGATATACTTTTAAAGTGAAATCTTGAAACCTTGATAGAAAGTCTTACCTCTCTTAACACCTCTGCATGTATTTTGCTATGGCAGTAAGTCGACATGAATTATCATCTCCAAGAAGCAAACTGCCATAAAATAAAGACTGTAGGTGCTGTAGGAAGCTTACCAAACTCAGAAAGGTCTACAAAACAAAGGAGGGGAAAATTAATGTTTATTTAATTTTCTCAAAAATCCGTATCTGAAGAAAATACAGTCAGTTCTGTATTTTTTATGCATGTGCATAAGCTGAGGTGTAAAATCTACTCTACAAAGAAAGAGGTTGGAGTTTTACTGAAATATTTGTCCATTTGCAGAATTTTTTCATGAAGAAAAAAATAATGACATTTTTACATTCTTATTTTTAAGTTGTGGACTGTGGGTGAAGAATAATGTGGTAAATTACAAGTTGTTTTCAGGTCCATTTAAAGGTGAAAGAGATTTCAGAAAAACAGAGACCAGACAATACCAGCATTGATAATGACGTTGTCATTATTTGAAACACCTGTTTGCTTTCAAATAAAAGTCTACTAAACCAGGAAATAAAATCATACTATGTTTTTCTATATACTTTCTGTACACATGCTAAAAATTAAGTAGCCTATCTGAGCACTTCCATTTATGATTGAACAAATCAGCCAACATTGATC